ATGTTCAAATCGGAGTCGGACAAAGTTGAGGAGAGACTAACTATGTGTAGTTATCTTCTAGTCATTGATATATTCTGTCATGATAATCTATAAATCATGTTCCCGGTGGCGGGGTTTATGTAAATTTTAGGGTTGCTGATGTCACTAACCCGGGAGGAATGTCGTGTAGTCCCTACCAGCCGTTTGTTGTAGTCCTTAAAAAACAATCTATGTGAAATAAAATATCTCCCTTTGCTTTGAACTTTGAGCGTTGTAACTTTGCAGATGTTGTTATTCTTAAACAGCAACATTACACACTACTAAAGTTAGAAAAGTGAAATCATAATCAACCACCCCTTTAAAGAAAATTTCCGGTATTTTTCAAAAATGTTGGCGGTGAAAGAGTTGAAGACTTGCAAAAATGTGTTTTCACTCACTTGTCTTGAATTGAAAGTAGTTGACTAGTGGTCAACTGTTTTTTTTTATATTGAAATCTTGAGATCAGGGTGATTTGTTAGCTGATATACATAATATACAGTATAGCAATAGAAAATTAATCTGATACAAAATCGTTGAAATTAAATGTCCTTTTATATAGTATTTACTCAACATTATTACAAACACAATTTGCATTACCTGTTCACAAGATTTTGGAACAAATTGTAAATATTTGCCGATAGCGTTTCTTTCAGCAATCGGTTATCAGTGCTGATAAATCGGAAAACCGATCAATCGGTCGACCTCTAGTTTTTACTACCTTTCTGGGGCTTGAAAGTGGTAGTTGCGTAGACTGTCAATGGAGGGACAGAAAGCTCTCCGATTTCATTTAAAAAGATCTTCATTTGTGTTCTGAAGATGAACGAATGTCTTACAGGTTTGGAACGACACCAGGGCGAGTAATTAATGACAGAATTTTCATTTTTGGGTGAACTAACCCTTTAAAGACACACAGGATTTGACTTTTAATGTCTTTGTCTAGATCATTATGTTTGCATTTACCCATCTAGTTTCACTGCCAACTCCAGAACTAGTTTACCTACTAATGAATTCATTTCTATAATCCCTCAATACCACATCCAACAGTCTCTCTTAAACCGCATGTGTATGTGTGTCTTCATGATCTTCTGAAATGCTTGAGATCACCAGTTTAATGAATTTGTCCCGGTTCCAAGTTTATGTGCAGGTTCAGTAAGAGTGTCATTTAAATGTCTGTGTTTGTGTGGAAGAGTTGTTCGACATACAGTACACTGTCTCCGTTGTTCAAAAGTCAGGGTGGGTTAAATATTAGCCTCTGGCCACAATGATTCTGCCCTTCTCTGAGATATCACACATAAAGCCCCGCGCTTTGACGGAACATGAGAAACGATGGCCTGATTTGATATCACAACGACGTGTCTGTGTGTCGTAAAGCCACAATTGTGGGCAATATTTTACAGTTTTTATCAGTGCAAACAATAGGTTTCACACTGAATGCAAACAGGGGTTGTTAAATGTTGGCTCAAACCAAGTGTACGAACCATGTGCAAGGCCCGGATGCCTGTTATTAGAGGGTAGAGTCGGTCTGCGGTGACTCTTGTGTTTGCATTCTGACATTTTTGCATCACGTAATGCAGTCAGGCCTCGTACAGCGAGATACCGGCGGGAAACACGGGACATAGGAACGAGAGGGCCGTACCGCACACATCAGCGCCATCAGAGAGAGTAAACAGTGAATGGCGTCTGTTTGCGTAAGGGCACTGGGAAGTACGCACACACAATCGCACCTGTTCTGTTGGTATTACTCTAGTCAAATAGTAGGCAGAGAGAATTGTGGGGAAGGGAGCGATAACAGGGCATAGACTCCATAAAAGTGAGACTTTATTTGCAGGCCAAACCACGAGACAAAGATTTTCCGCTCGGTTTTGCCGACTCGCAGGAATTCCTCTCTGTCCTCTGGCTGTCAATCTGATTGACTGTCCTCCCACTGGACTTTCGTGAACTGGCACATGGAAACCATGTATTTATAGTCTGTCTCTGTCATTGCTGAAAGTTAGTTATCGGTTCACTTTGCCATGATCACTGATTAATATCCGAATGCTGTCATTAAAATGCACTCGATTTTTACATTTTCGGTAACACTTTACAATAAGGTCTCATTTGTTAACATTAGTGAATGCATTCGCTAACATGACCAATATATTTTTTAAAGCATTTCTTAATCTTTATTAGCGTTAGGCCTGTCGCAGTTATTGATTAATTGTCTGATTATGGTTATTCGATCTAATCGCAGTTATTTGATATAATTGTGCAGTATCATGTTTTTCCATCCAAAAAAGGGTATTTTTGCTATTTTATGTTTATAGTTATTATACATAATTAATTAGTGCTGTCAAATAGATGAATCACATCTAACACACATATATATACAGTGTGTGTGTGTGTATATATATATATATATACGTGTGTGTGTGTGTGTGTGTATATATATACATGCATGCATGCATGCACGCACACACACACACACACACACACACACACACACACACACACATATATATATATATATATATATATATATATATACTATATACCACACAAACTTTTATGTTAGATGTGATTTAATTGATTTGACAGCAATAACAAATATTCTTCATTTTCACTGCATTTAAGTCAATCATTGGCATATTTTAATTATAAATTTTATTATATAAAGTGACAAAAACAAAACAAAAAATTGTTAATTGCAATTATTTGAATGTCAATTAATCATCAGAACAAAACTCCTCATCATGATGGGCTTAGTTAATATTAGTATAAATCTAATCTGTTCATCGTTTGATCATGTTAAATCACAGTGCATTAACAGATGTTTACAAATACTTTGGAATGTAAAAATGTATTCATGAATGTTAAAATTACCTCTGACTAAAATGAATAAATGCTCTAGAAGTATTGTTCATTATTAGGTCATGGTAACTAATATAGTAAATCAATGTTAACAAATGAAACATTGTAAAGTGTTACATTTTCTTAAGTGGCACGATGCTAAGGTGTTGCTAAGGTGTTGCTAGGATATTCTGGGTAATTGCTATGGTGTACTGGATGGTTCCTATGCTTACTGGCCCAAGTTTACAGATCACACCCACAAGTATCTCTGATATTCTGGTTTGGATTCGTGTCTGTTTGGTCTGTTATACTGTACTGTTGGCTGTCTGTGTCACAACAGTCATAAAGGAGGAATGATCCTTACTTCCCTGATGCCATCGGAGATAAGATGTGTGTGAGTTATGTTTATCTGTTTATGTTGACAGGAAAACGAGATTTATGGTTGCGATACCGGTGTCTGTCTTCTCTTGAGCTGAGTTTTTATGGCTCTCTCTACATATGCAGCACCCTTATTTTGACGGGACAGAGAAAAAAGTAACATGTCTTGTTAAAGATGCTTATCCCCAGAATGTTGTTACGGCATCTACCTGCGGATGCGAACTGGGCCATGCTTACCTTGACCATGTTTTATCTGTGAACTCACACGCCGACACACACTCCGACTCGAATAGTATGCAAGTTATAAATATCAGTATGTGTTATAAAGTGTCTCCAACCCTCTGGACGGCAAGTCGTGGGAAAATAGTTTAATAATTTTGTTTAATTACTTGTGCTGGATGCTTTCACTGGCCAATCTGCTCATTAATTCTGACGTCACACGTCACTGTTTCCAGGTCCTAAACAATATCAGATGCCAAAAGCAAACAACAAATGGTACTAATATACATTCTCACAGTGTGTTGAAATCACGATCCTAACCTTAATCTCCATACCGAAATCCCAGATGGCCAGACAGTGATTCATCTTTTATGAATCGTTAAAATATTGGTGTCCAGGATGCCGTGAGCCCAAAGTCTGCAGTATATACACCGTGAGATTATATATATGTAATATGAATAAATAGTGCTCATAAATGTAAAGTTGAGATGGTATTCTCACTTGAAACAAGTGGAGGATTGCACCCGGAAATTATATTCCTTACGTCATGGAATTTTCAAATTATCATTTATATTCAAAGCACTACTAGCTGACTAGTACTGTATTACATAATTGAATTGTTTGTAAAAACAAGTAATGCGCTGTAAACCGCAGAAGTGTATGGATGGGTCAAGACACTGCACCAAATATGTGTAAAATACACCTTTTTCTGAAACTATACCCAGAAGAGATGGGACTAGTCGTGTGATTAAAATTGTCTGCAAAATTATATCCAGTATGTATTTCTCCTGTTAAAACCATGTAAAGACAATGACTACAGGAGTTTGTGCATAATATGGCAAGGATACCAGAAGTACATCCACCTAGAAAAGTAGTCCCACTGCTTAAAGAATTATTTTGACAATTTAATATCTCAAATAAAACATACTTTTGTTTGAAAGAATTAATACAAGTGCTTTAACATAAATATCAGCTGCGTCTTTCTCTTCTTTTCTTTTTTTTTTTGCCTGGTTTTATAAACTAATGGAATTAAGAGTCAAAAGGATTGTCTATCACAGATGCTGTCGATACTGATGGACTTGTATTGAACCCAAAACATTGATTGAATCAAACTTTGCTGTTCATTGCTCATATTTCGTGTTGACGATAAAACGGGCATACAAGGTTACTGTGAATCACAGCTGTGTTCCAGCTGCTAATGAAAGACGCTAATACTTTAACAGTGTCCTGTTCACATCTATGTGTAGATTGCTTGTGTCTGAGGCGAGCTATGAGGATAATTCGGTTATAGTGTGGATTTGTGTCATACTGTAATTTTATATCTCTCTCTCTCTCTCACACACACACACACACACACACACACACACACACACACACACACACACACACACACACACACACACGCAGTATCGTAAACACTGACCTTTAATTCTTCTAGCTTGGACACGAGTGGGCGGGGCACAGTAGATATCCTACGTTCTGATTGGATTTGTGCGCTCAGTGAAGGGGCCGCATTAGTAGGTCACATGACCACTTCAGTTTCTCTCTCTCTCTCTCTCTCTCCCGAAGCAGATCCTCTCAAAGAGACTCCCACGTACAAACACACACACGCACGCACTACAGCCGAAAATCCCCTATTTACGAGGGAAGAAGAGTGTGAGGGTTGCTTTGTGCGCTTTACTGAGTGGAATTGCGGACTGTTTGTGGAGTTTTGGGACTGTTTTTGTCGTGTTTAATCCTCCGAGGTAATCTGGGATTCTCGAGGCGGGAATGAGAGAGATGCGCTCGAGCGCTCACTGGACTTTCACTCTGTGAGGATCAAACAGGTGAGTTTAACGGCACAAGTTCTGGAAAACCACTCCGTTTTCTGTTCAGGCTTACTATTTAACCCTGCATTGTCGTTTAAAGGCAATTTGAATGATTAAGTAAACTACAAATATCGCCACCTGCAATCACAAAGGCGTCAAAACAAGATTTAAAGGTCTTATTCGTCAACCGTCACTATTTTTGTAACCTTAAAACCCTATTTTTTTGCATCTAATCATGTAATTTGATAATTTTGTGCTTTTTTAGCTTGCTTTGTCGTTATTTTCTGCGCGAGCACGCACACACCCCCTCGCGCGCCGACAGTCCGCTATTCTGAGCGCGAGACCCTTTGCAACGCCTGAAATCTGAGTCTGAAAATCTCTCTCTATTTATAGATCTGCTAAAGATAAAGAGAGAAATAGTACGGCATACTGACGATGATGAGGGGTGTGGGAGGAAACACGCATATCGTACAGTTCCCTCAAAGGCACTTTAGGGCGCTTAAAACTTAAAAAAAAAAAATGTATAAATGTCAAATGACATGTGTATGTTAAAGGAACACATACAGTCCTCAGGTCAGTCGCACCCGCTGTGAATGGTAAGTAGTGATTGTAATGGTTCATTTGAGGGTGACTGCTGTCTGAAATGGGACTCATGTCAAACTGAATCTAAGCTGTGTGAGAGAAAGCAGTAACACAATGAGGCATTGACTGTAGTGCACACTGTGAATCTTGTGACTCGTACTGCTGGTGTCCCTGTAGTGTATTTTATTGTCTTCTGTGGCTATTGTATTACTATACTAGTGTCCTTTCTGTTATTACAGCACTGATCTCTATGCATGTGTGAGAGAAATCCGGCACAGCAGTTCATTATTGCCTGCCGAACAGCTGTTATAAGTGAGGATTGAGGATCCTCCCCATTTCCCACACTTTTTTATTTTCCTCAGACACCCATGATGAGAGTTTGGAGCAATCAGCAACACCTTACAAATCAACACTGCTTTGCATAAAGCAGTCGATAAGCTGAGATTGACAGGCATGGTTATATAATTTCATGTACAGGACATCTGCTGCCTGTCCCAGTCGATTCAGATCCAGATTCATATTTAGCAGATTATAATTCCATTATGCAGTTTTTCAACAGATGGTGGAAAGTTTTAAATGGTTAGTTAGTTCATGCAAAAAATACAGTCATGCCTAAAAAGTAGGCATGGCACAAAAGTAGCATCTCTAATGCTCACCAAAGCTGCATTTATTTATTTTATTATTATTATTTTTTCTGAATCACAATGTATATTCTGAAAGACTGAAGAAGCTGTTGATTCTTCTGTCAGACGCATTTAAGCAAAGAGTGCCTGAGAAAAACGCGTCCTCCTGGTTCAGTTTCTGCGGTCAGATGAGATGTTGTCAGGCTACATGTCAGTGTCATTAATTCTAATGTTATTTTCATAACTTGTTACTAAATAAAAAGTCTCTCACCTCATTAAAACAAACGTTCCTGTCTTACAAATGCAGAGGCGCCTACAATAGTGGCTTAATGGGTAAATGTGGGTCCCATAGTCAAACCAGTTGAGAACTCGTACTAAACTCTATAACTTATACGAAAAAATCACACTAACTGCTTTAACTGTGATTTTTCTCTTTCACTTTCATTTTTATTGAACAATTATTACATTTATTATTATTTTTTTGTTCTGAAAGGTAGTCATACCTTTCATGTTTGAAACAACATGAGGCTGAGTGAACCGAATTTATATTTGTTGGGTCTTGAAGGGACAAATACAGTGGTTATTGTCTGGTGAGATCCACCCACCTGCTGTTGTTGTCATTGTTTAGAGCGGTTCGTAGTTCTGCCTTTCAGGCTTGGCTGCCTTCTTCGTGTTGTGTTTCTGTTTGTGGGTGGGTGTGTCAGAGAGAGCCAGGGCTCGCTAGGTTTGATTATTGCATCATAAGTTGAAACGCATGAGTTTTGTGTGCACATATGGCTTGTTGTCTTGACAGCATAATAAACCTAAGCGACGTCCCCTCAAGCTTCCCTCTTCCTGTTAGTCAGATGTATCGTAGACTTTGCATTTGTTTATGTTTGTGTGTGTTTATTTGACTTTTTAACCTAGAAGGCAACTCTTAATCAGGTTAATAGGGATATTTGATGCTATAAGTTTTGCATGTGTGCGGTAGAGCACACACCTAAAAATGTGGTGAAGTATTGCTTCCTGTTGGCTTGGGCTTTTATTCAGCCCGCCGTGTGTGTGTTTCTGGCAGAGATGTGTGCCTCTAATCTGAACCATCTTTCCAAGTGCCATTTGACCTGAAAGAGCAGCTTAGCAACGTACAGCCGAGTAAAGAAGCCCACCCGCCCCTGCAGGATGAAGCGGAGACGAGAGTGAGTGTGAAAACAGAGAAGTACAGGTGAAAGCTTTTCACTGCGGCCTGGGAAAATGCCTGACACACACTCTGGCGCAACAGCAGAAGTGATTTGAAAACAGTCCCAGTTGAATGTCCGATTTCAGTGGTCTTTGCTTGCCATTAATAGTCTTAATAGTGTTGCTTAGCAGAGTTAAACTACCACTTTAACTCATCACATTTTCATGTCACAGACATGAATGGTGCTTCAAATAATGCTGCTTGTTCAGCAGGGCTGTCACTTTTGTGAAAAAATCCTGTTAGATTTTTGAGACGCAAGTGTTCATTGAATCGATTGTAAAATCGATTTTCCATGTCTAAAGACGTTTCCATTTTCATCACCAAATATAGGCAAATCCACGGACACCTAACAGGCATTAGGACGAGCGTAAAGAGGGCGCTTGAGACGCACAAGTCAGCAATATTCCTGATGATTTATTGGCGTGAAGTTTCGTGCACAATGACAAACAGGAGCGCAACATTCAGGGATTGAAATTAACTCCCACCAAATGCGGGTAAAAATGAACTTTGGCGGGTTACGCTGTCCAATCACGAGCCAATCTGGCGTGTTTCTATGTTTACTCACTTTCTTTGCTGTGGAAGTTCATGTAAGCCAAATCTGCGCAAATACGCAACTCGTGAGTAAGTAAGTAAGTAAGTAACCTTTATTTATATAGCACCTTTCACAGACAAGAAGGGTCACAAAGTGCTTCACAATAAAAAAATGAGTCCACATGATATATTAAATACAGCGTATTGAGCAGAATCTGCGCATTTCTGGCTTACTTGAACACACACGTCACTACGCAACAAATAACGGCGCTCATTGTTCACTTGCATTGAAGTAATAGCGAATATTATAAAGCATTTGGTTAACAGAAAAGACATTGTTATTTTCCACCATCCTTCATGTTCTGTGTGCTGTATTGATCTGTCCACCTAAAACACATTTTTGGTAAAATAAAATAAAATAAAAAAAGGGCGTTAAAATCGATTCCCTATTTTCGTTTTCGATACTTGTGTTGGTTGGTCCGATCGATTGTGCAATCGATTTTCGAACGTAAAGTGACAGCCCTATTGTTCAGGAGAGGTGTGCTGTTACTTTTCTTATCACTCAAACATGCTTTTCTCACCCGTTGGACAATAAAATGATCAAATCATGTCCTTAAATACAAAGTTTGGGTCGCCAGGTCGGTCATTTTTATTGTTTTTGAAAGAAGTCTCCTTATATTCATCAAGGCTGCATTTATTTGAAAACAAAAACAGCAATATTGTGAAATATTATTGCAATTTAAAATAATGGTTTCTATTTCAATATATTTCAAATGGGTGATGAACTGAGAAATCAAATTTTCCTTTTGACATCTAAGAGGTCATCAAATTATAAGAATACTTTACTTCCAAGTCTTCAATGCGAGACGCCCATAAAAACCGAGCGTTTTTGAGCTAGGCTCAAAACTAGGGTAGAAAATAGCCTATTACTTATTAATTTTGATGTTTTTGAATGTAAAAACCAAGCGAACGTCATAAGTTGACCTTAGACAACAATATAAAACTTAAAAAGCCAGTTCATGACCCCTTTAAACTAATTCATTCCCTGAGATGCAAAGTTGAATTTTCAGCATCATTACTCCAGTCTTCAGTCACATGATCCTTCAGAAATCTTTCTGATCTGATGATTTAATGCTCAAACATATCATATCAACTGGAGAAAAACAACAACAGATGTGCTGCTTCATATTTTTGTGGAAACTGTGATACATTTTTTCAGGCTTCTTTGATAAATAGAAAGTTCAAAAGAACAGCATTCATTTATAATAATATAAATCTTTTGTAACATTATTAATGTCTTTACTGTCACTTTTGATTAATTTCATGCATCCTTGCTGAATAAAAGTATCTTACCAACCCCAAACTTTTGAACGGTAGTGTGCCATCTGGAGAAATTCATTTTTAATACTCTACAGCTTTACTCAAACTAGAGAGAGAAATCCAAATGGCTGGGACAACTGTGTGTGTGTGTGTGAGAGAGAGAGAGAGCAAAAATCAGGCCTAACTAAACCTGATAGTGTAATAGGATAGCGCTGGCCTCCTGTTGGTTGACCTGACGCCACCCTTCACTGTTGGCGGGACAGCCACTCTCTTCTTTTTGTTGAGGGTGAACAAAGAACAAGGTCCATTGTGAATAGTGATACTCTCAGCAAGTGAGTTCAGCGTATGTGCGGTTGCCTGTTTTTTGATTGTATTGATCGGTGGACTTATGTGCGTGTTTGTGTGGGATGATAGGTTTGCTCTCAGAGCATTACTGATCAAGACAGTTTTGCCTGTCAAATGAAGTGCACAGGCTTCCTCTCGCAGGTTTTTTTTCATTCAGTGAGTGGAACATGTATTTTGTGTTTACTAGGGATGTCCAATAATAAGTATTTATACATTTTTCTTTCTTTCCAGGTGAAAACAGCAGGACAATACAGTAGAGATGAGTGGCGAGTCGAGCCCGGGGGTGGTGACAACCCCTCCACCCCCCAGCGTGGGGAAACGGGAGGGTTACTTCGACCGCATCAATGAAAATGACCCCGAATACCTGCGTGCACGCAACATGTCACCTGACCTGCGACAAGACTTCAACATGATGGAGCAGAAGAAAAGAGTCACACAGATACTACAGAGTCCAGTAAGAAAACACAAACACTCACTGTGAAAAAAAATATATTTTTTCGAATTTGGCTGAGGAATTACCCCCAAAAGACAACTTCTAGTCATTATTGTGTTAAATGAGAAAAGCATCAAATAGGCGTTACAAAAAGCAGCGTTAGAAGGAAATATTATATTTGATTCAACATTTATTACACACACTTTTAGGCTTCATCTGGCCAGTAAATGGCAGATGATTCATTTTTGGGTGAACTATCTCTTTAATGTTTTTTTGTTTTTTTAATTAATATGGAAATTAGGCTTGCTGCGATAGTCAGTGTTACCAGTGTTCAGCCGCAACACCGGTTACATCACTTGCCCACCGCGGCACCGCCCCCACCGTCGTTTTGCAATGCAATGGGGGAAGATTTGGTTTCAAAGCAAAATATACGTGGACGATTGTGAATCGAATCACAAATGTCAAAAATCGATTTTCTAAATGTTAATTGATAACGTAATGTTGGCGCTAGGGATGCAACGATTACAGATTTTGTAAGTACGATTATTGTCTGAGAAATAATCACGATTTAACGATTATCACGATTATTATGCATCAATTAATTTCACAACACTACTAATGTATAATATCACATGAACACTCAACACTAGATTTTAATGTGTTATTTATTGCTGCCACAACACAGTACAAAATTATAAAATAACAAACAATAATCAATCTCTTCCTTTGGAATTAAAGAGAAGTGCTTTGTAAACATCCAGTATTTTTCTTTTAAAAATAACAAATTAAGTCAAAGCCAGGCTCTTTGATTGAAATAGATCACAAAATTATTAAGTGTTTAGTTTGTTCTAAATTTATTTTCAACCTGAGGTAGAAAACTTGAAAACAATATCTTGTTGCTATTTGACTTAAAAACATAAATAATACTATAAAGGGATAAAAATCCCAAATGAAAATAAGAATAAACAAAGTATTTGGCTCTATTGAATTAAATGTAAGCTAAATATTAACTATGCATTTCTTTTAAAAGAAAACAAATGTAGTCCAAATGTTATCTACTCCAATATTATTGTACTTATTTTAATACTCTTTTTAAATTATTAATCCAAATTTGGCATGTGCCTTTAGAAAATCATCTATTATAATCTCATTATTTTGGCTTGTTTGTTTGAAGTTTAAGTAAAAAATATAGAGATAAACTGAGATCATCTCTCGTGTTATTAATAACTGAAATGCAGTTAATTGGTAGTCCTGGAGAAGTCTACACGGCCCTGATCTTATGTTAGTGTTTTACACCGGGCATATTACAACTACAAAGCCTAACATTTACTCAACACAGACAGGAGAAAGCAATAGGATATTAAGTTAAATGTTCACTGACTGAAACTCTTGAGAGCACGTCACATTCTGTTTTCCACACTTACGTTACCAAAACGTTGAGAACAGTTGAGATGTTTTTATCTCGACGCGGCGCGGACGCGCTTGGAAAAAACGAGCGCATCGCTTCCATTATGAGCGTGCATTCCGCGCGCCTACATTTGAAATAACGAACTTGACCGCCCAAAAGACGTGATAGCTGTATGAACAGGCCCTTAACGCGTTTTTTCGGTGGAAATAGAGCGTCGCTGCTAGTCCCTCTGCCATATGGGTGATGAGCACGGCACTTTAAGCTGGTGCACGCTGTGTTTTCGTTTTGTGTTAGTTGCAAAAGTTCCTTTCCGTGCAGAATCTGCACGGAAAGGAACTTTTGCAGAACACTCGGTGTAGCATAGTCTTTACGATTAATTAACCGTGACGTTTTAAAGCGCGGTTAATTGTGCAATCCGGTAATCGCTGCATCCCTAGTTGGCGCCTGGACAGTCTGTGGCGTGCAGCTGTGCGCATAACAGAGACGCATGATGGTTTAGCGAGTAATCCGACCGGCACCCTCTGGATTAAAATCTAGCGTAACTTTGGCTTCTATGAAGTTGAAGGAAAAAGGACCTGGACAAGAGCCACACTTTATGCAATTAGCGCTCCAGACTGCGACCAAATGGGCGACAACACGTTGCACTGGTGCGACCACAACGTTGTCCAATTGATAAGAGCTGCAACTTCTGTTACATACGAGAAACATCAAATGGCAAACGAAACTGAAACTAAAATGGCGCTATTCATTTGAGCTGCGCTGCGCGAGCTCAGAACAGGTTTACTCGTGGGCCGATCTCTATCACTCGACACTTAATACACAGCTCTGGGAGATCCAGTGAGAAAGCGTTTGAATTGACCGCAGAATTAATAATATGTCCGATCAAACAGCGCTAACGTGGAAATCAGGACAACCTTAAAAGCTTCCACCCAACTCAAAAAGGCAGAGCGAATTACAAACTCTATCGCAACATATATTGCCAAATCACTTACATTTGTTTAATTAATAAAATATAATGGAAGTAAATTCATTATGGATCATTATAAATACTTTGCTTTAAAAATACCAAGTAGTCACACAGTGAGAAAAAAGATGCATCGATAATCGTTTTATCATCGCATCGCAGCCCTCTGAATCGAATCGAATCGAAGTGCCTAGAGATTCCCACCCCTGATATTTAAGCGAGTTTTTCATTTGTACTGTTTCGTTGTTGTGTTTTTTATTAAGAATAATAATGAACCCACCATTCAAGCAATTGTCCCACCCGAATTGGCCCTAATTCGAGAATTTCGAGATTGTGAATTAATTTAGTTTTTAAATCGAAATCATGACACCCTTAGTTATGAGTGGCCGTGCGGCCGTGCGCATTTTATGTTCGCTTAAGAATTAGCGATTTAAAAGTGAGGGGCATAAGAGGTCCCTTAGTCGCTCTCGCAGTACTTTGATGTCATAAACCGATCGGTCTGTGCAGCGCCAGTTCAAGTCGAGCAAGCCTATTGGCTCTATTAATGTATGGGCCATTGAATCATTGGTTCACCCGATTGATTCGCTCAAAACGCGGATTTATTCAGAAACGAAACACTGCTGTGTGTTGCGGGGAGACGCACAACGGTCCTGCTCTGGCTTTACAGGTGATATTTTCATTGGCAAAATTGAGCAAAAGCAGACAATATTGTGTCTGAAATGTACCACAATATTAACTTATTTATTGAACTGTTGTATAAATCAATATCACATTTGCTCTCGTGCTATTTGGAACAAAAATGTTATTAAACTATTGGAATTTTTTTTTTTTTTTTTTTTTACAAGAAAATTTCTTATTTCAGGTAAATTCATGTTTAATTCTTTGCGTTAGTTATCATTTTTTGTAATTATTTGTGAAATTGTTGAAATTGAAATGTTTTTAGAGTGAATTGTTTTAAAGTAAAAACAAATTTTCCAGTGCACACCGAAACAACACTTATGTACACAGTTTTGTTAAAGCAATATACAGGGTTGTTTTCCACTTTTCCACCGATTTAATCGGCAAGAATGTGCTTTAAATGTAAACGTGTTTACTTATAGATTTTACAGGTTGTCTCGAGCCATGTGGTTTTGAATAAACGCCATGCCACCGTGAAGTTTACATTCAAAGCTTGGCATGAACTTCTAAAGTTAGTTTTGAACCCAGCCGCTTGCACCTTACACAGCCTCTCTGTTCACAATGAAAGATTTATGGTTTATTTTTATCAGATGAGTAGGTTTGTCAGCAAGTTAATTGTGCGTTTGGTGTGATGTTTTGAGTTACAGCTCAATCGTACACACAAAGCCACAGCTGCACCGTAAAACCCATCTGGAAGACCACACCCTATTACATGCACACCACCGACATCCACCTCTCACATATAAACACAATCCAGCCAGCGAAGCACAGCCCTGCACCTCTGACCTACAGTAGAGAGATTATAGCCAACACACACAAGATTACGGTTAACACACACTGGAGAGATTACAGTGGACATACTGCGCAGATTACACTCCTGCAGACATTTCAGTAAACACACACTGTTTAAAGGAATGTTCTGGGTTCAACACAAGTTAAGCTGTATGGACGACATCTGTCGCATGCCATCGATTAACTCAGCAAATAATACCAACTTGTACCTCACTTTGTAATTTTTTATTTAAACCATTTTAAAAATAAATATTAAAATAAATTTTACGTTTTAATGATAAATGCAAAATATAAATTTAAAACACAATGTAAAATATATATTTAAGGGTGTCGATCTTAAATCGAAATCGATCGAAATAAAAAAAAAATCGAATCGATTGAATTAAAAAATGGAATCGTTGACGCTGCCACGCCCTCATGTCACGTCCGGTCGGCGTGCCAAGCGGGAAAAACCACGCGTGTTGAAAAGCTGCGAGTCTATGGTCAACCTCCTCTAACTTAGCTACAGCCATTCAAAAGATAGCATGGCAACTGCAGATGCAGCAGACCCATCGACAGAACTTGAACCCCCTCCTCTTTCATGGAAGTCGCAGGTGTGTACGTTTTTTGGATTTCCAGTGAGTTATGTTGACAACGTTCGCGTTTCAAAAAACCCACAGTTTACTTTGCAGACATCCCAAGTCTCGCGGAAGTTCCTGGAGTCTCCCGCATATTGATAGCGGCTCTGATGCCCGCAAATCAGTTAATCTCCCGGAATCTAGAGTGAGCGAGCAAGAGCGCGCATGCGAGACAGAAAAACTGTGCTCCAAACCGTATAGCGCGCACGGCAGAGAGGGAGAGAGCGAGAGACCTTGCGTGTGTGCCTCATGAAGCGCATGTAAGACAGAGAGCATCCTGATTGGCCGGTTTCGGCTTTGAAAAAAAATAAATGTAAAAATCGAGAATCGAACCGTGACGTTAGAATCGAAAATTTAATCGAATCAAGGATTTGGAGAATCATGACACCCCTAATATATAGGGTTTTTGTGGTGGAAAGGATCAGTCTAAACTTCTGTACTTAGAGCAGATCTGCAAGGTTGAGCGCTTTAACGTCAGTATTTGAAAGTGAAATGCATTCTTTCTGTCATTGCAATCTCTGTAATTGTGATAAACAAGAGGCAGTGTGACAGCACGGTTAAT